AGGCAAGGAATTTTCCCAAATTCACTTTTATCCTAACTAAGCAAAGCCACCTTTACATCATGATAATTTGCAGAGAAGATGTATGTATCTATTCTGCTTCAACCTATAAGCAATTACTAATTTTTAAGTACTTAAATTTGTTTTACTCAAATTATGTTCTTGTGGAAAATACAACTATGGATTTTAGCTATTTTACTCTCTGCTATGAATTATTCAGGGAATCCTCTCTTTTAACTGTATACCAAAACAGCATTAGAGGTTATCTAATAGCTAGCTCATAATTTCATTCCCCCACTGAGGCTTGTGGGCCAATTTTCACCCAGTTATACACTCCAGAATAATGAAACTAATTTGGGCTCTTGCTGTGGAATTAAATGCTCACACAGATCCCACCCCCTCTGAGACCATAAACATCTGCTATAACATCTCTTACAGCCAAATAACCTCCCTACTGCCCAGACCAGAGAATCTTTGGGTGGAGCAAAAGAGTTTAGTTCCTCACAGAAACCTTTAACTAAATAGTGTGTTTTCTTTGCCTGTTAGTCTAAGAAAATTTGACACGAATTAACCATTCTATTATTATTGGAGCTTCTATTATTTTTTTATGGTGTTTAGGATAAAATTGTAAGTAGGAAACCATTTTGTACCAATTTTGAGATATTCTCAGGCCTTTTTTAGAACCTCTTTCAGTTGTTATCATAGTGGCACCTTGCCTCTGTGAGCTCTGGTTGAAACTGAATTACCATATAAAATCCTTTACGTGTATTATCTCACAAAATCCCTATGCCCCTTAATCTCTGTTCTGCAAAGGGGAAAACTGAGGCTAAATAAATTTCCAAATGGTATTGCATATCTAAAAATAAAACATACTCAGGATCCAAACCCAGGCTGTTTGACTCCATTGTTCCCGCATGTGCTAACTCACTGCTTCTCAGTGACCTTCAGTGACCCTCTTCTTGGGCTGCAGAGAAGAAAATTAACAAAAAACGAAACTATAAAAGGATTTGAGGTAAAGTCCTAGGAAGAAACTAAGTAAAATAAGACCTTAAAGAGTTAGTGACAAAGGATGTTTTAGATAGAGTTGTCAGAGAATACTTTATAGGGAAAATTCTGAGTTAAAACAAGCTATGGAGCCAGTTGACCATGTCAGAGAGGGTTTAAACACCTCTACATGAGGTGTTTATTCCGGAAGAAATGTGCCGCTTCATTTCTAGTTAAGTAGGGATTCGTGCAAAGGACTCAAAGATGCTGAACAAAAGTAGGTGTAGTTAGATAGTCTGGGTCTGTCTCCTGCATTCCCTCCTGCTCTCTCATCAAGCCCTGGATCTCCTATTCCATCTATTCTTCCTCATCTGTCATTTCCTTTGCAGCTGTGTTTCTTTCAGAACCCTTGCTGCTCTCTGCCTCCCTATAACAGCATCCTCTTCCTAGCTCCATGTTGCTGCATATTCCTTCCCTGCACCCTCACTTGGCTCTCCTCCATCCAGACCCTGGCCTGCTGCTAGATTATCACTGCCTTCTTTCTGTGCCTGTTGACGGTTCCAGTTCCTTCCACTTTCTCAGCTTTGGTCAACCCCTTAACTTTACCCCATCCTACTTTTGTTAACAAGTGGTCTTGCACCTGTACTGATCTGAGACAATCCAGACCACTATGAACTCATTTTATCCTCTCACATTTCTCTCTTCCTGGGAGATTCAACCCAATGTCTTCCATGTGGTATGCAAGTACTCCACCCTGAGCTACACACTGAGGCCACATCTATTCTTAATAAATATTTTGATCTTAATTCTTCATCCCTTGATTAGTTTCTAATCAATATGTCTCTTTTCTCAACTAAAGCACAACTTTTCAACTAAGATCCTGATAACCTTTATCTTCTCCTCTGTGGCATTAGTCTTTGAAATATAATTTCTGTCTTGTGCCCCTAACTTTCTCATGTATTAATAGCATTTCTCCTCTAGAGTTGTGTTTGAGTTCATTGTGTGATTGTGTGACCTGCCTGCTGTTCACTCAGTTGCGGCAATTTGACTTCTCCCTCCAACATCCTAAACAAGAAGGACAAGGGCAGGCATACACACCCAGTGGCTGACTCCAGCGGGTTCTTGTTCTTTTAACCTTCCCTGCATCTTTTGATGCTGCTGGCCGTGGTTTCCTCTCCTGGCTTCCCTAGCATGATTTTTCTCTTGAATCTTTGCCTATTTCTCTAATTTTTCCTTCTTGGTTTCATTTGAATGCTTCTTTTTCTCATTCCATGCTTTACATGCTGATGTGTTCCAAAGATCTGTCCTGGAGTATCTTTTCATCTCATACTCTTTCTGTGGGTGAATTCATCCACTTTCATGGCTCTGCCATCATACTGATGACTTCCACATGGCTCTCTTCAAATCAGATATCTCTTACTAGGACAGTAAGTTCAAATTCCTACGGATGCCTCTCTTTAGATATATTTCAAATGTCCACAGCCCTCTCTACTGATTTAAAATTAAGCAAAATACCTAAGAGTTTCCCTAGGCTGTTCCTTTCCCCTCATCTTTGTTTTATCTTCACCCTCACCGTCTCAAACCCCATGTCATTAGAGGATGATTATTGTTCAGTCTATTAATTTATCATTTCTTATATTTGTCTCCTACTTATTCTGCCTCTTTCCTGGTTTAGGTTCTTCTGACTAGTCTGGTATAAGATCCTATTGATTATCCTTAACACCCTCCAATCTGCATTCCTTACTACTGCTGAACTGTGTTTCACAAGATGTGAAATGGCTAGTACTCCTGTGTTATACGTCTCTAGGATTCTTCATTGTTGGTGCAAAGGTCAGACCCCTTAGGAAAGTGCACCGTGGTATCCAATCTAATGAGCATCTGTCACTACCTCGGTGGATTGCATTGAATGGGTGTATTTTAGCCTGACTTTGACACCTATTGAAAAATTTTGCTCTGATCTGAAATTTAGTGAAGCTAAAATAAATGGCTTTAAGGAGAAGATGGTATATTAAATGTCTAAAAAACTTTCAAGTATGTTCAATTAGATAATATTCAATTCAGTAAGACAATGAGAGGAGAGAAGTGATCAAATCTAGAAAATGTGAGAATACAGGATGCAAATCGTGGAGAGAAAAGCTAGGGATGGGTTTTCAGAATGGATTATATTCTACTTTGACTAGCTGTACTGTCTAGTAAAAAGTAATAGTTCAAATAATTTCATTTCTACACTCTATGTCAGTAAATATATTGTATGTCATAAAATTTTTATTAGCCAAGCTATCTGCTAAGCATTTATGTAACAATTTTTTCTTTATTAGGCAAAGATCTGTAGTTGAATTTGAGCCAACACAGAAACATGTTACAGTCATTTCATTTCCAAAAGATGGCTGTAGTATAGATATTCTGGATAGTATTCTAATTCATGTATTTATTTTTATTTTATGTGTATGAGTGTGTTGCCTGAATGTATGTAAGTGCAACAAGGACATCAGATGGTTGTTAGCTGCCATGTGGGTGCTCAGAACAAAACCTGGGTCCTCTGAAAAAGCAGCCAGTGTTCTTAACCACCGAACCATTTCTCTAGCCCCAAAGTGTTCTAAATTTAAATCACAGTAATACATTTCACAATTAAATTCCTCTTGCACACTCTTTCTAGGCCCTTAAGAATGTACAAAATTAGTTCTAAGTTCTCATTTATTGTTTGATATA